TCATTCTTCCTTTGTGAGGTTGTGAGGTTGGTGTTTTAAGGGTGATAAGCTGTGCTGCTTTTATGCCAAACAGCAGGACAGTGCTATAAACAGCAGTTTTCAGTTCTTTCCACAGATTCTGAATTGGATTCAGGTCTGGATTTTACCTTGGCAATTCTACAACCTGGAAATATTTATTTGTGAACCATTCCATTAGATTTTGTTTTATGTTTTGGATCATTGCCTTTTCGGAAGATAAATCTCTGTCCCAGTCTCAGGTCTTTTGCAGACTCCAACAGGTTTTCTTCCAGAATAGTCCTGTATGTTACCATCCATCTTCACATCGATTTTACCCCCTTCCCTGTCCCTACTAAAGAACAGCAGGCCCAAACCATTACGCTGCCACCACCATCTATGACAGTGGGGATGGTGTGTTCAGGTTGATGAGCTGTGCTGCATTTGTTTGTCGTGTCTGCCAGGTGGCTTATGGAAAACTTTAAACAATACATTTTATGGATATCTTTAAGAAATGGCTTTCATCCATAAAGACCAGATTTGTGCAGAATACGAATGATTGTTTTCCTATGAACAGAGTCTCCCACCTAAGCTCTAGATCTCTGCATTTCATCCAGAATGATAGTGGGCCTCTTGGCTGCATCTCTGATCAGTCTCCTCCTTGTTTTAGCTGAAAAGTTAGAGGTACGACTGGGTTTTCGTAGATTCCCAGTGGTCTGATACTCCTTCTATTCCAATATTATCACTTGCAAAGTGCTCCTTGGGATGTTTAAAGCTTGGGAAATACTTTTGTATCCAAATCCGGCTTTAAGCTTCTCCACAACAGCATCTCAGATCTGCCTGGTGTGTGAGACTTGATTACACACAGGTGGATTCTATTTATTATCATCAGTCATTTAGTTCAACAATGGATCATTCAGAGATCCTTACTAAACTTCTTGAGAGTTTGTTGCACTAAAAGTTAAGTATGGAGCTAGATCAGTCTCAATTTTCACAAATACACATATGTGATTCATACATGAACAGGACAAGATTCACACATGCACAGCACTACTCACGCAAGCACACAAGATTCACACATGCACAGCACTACTCACGCAAGCACACAAGATCCACGCATGCACAGCACTACTCACGCAAGCACACAAGATCCACACATGCACAGTACAAGATTTACCAAAGTATTTCTGGTCAGAAATACTTTGGTGAAAATGCTATGAGGTGAGATCCCAGCAATGCCTTACCCAGTGATGTCACTTGGCCTGATTTTGAAGTGTTTATAAGGGATCCTTGAACTGCTCATTGTTTAACCCATCACCCAAAGCTTGTTTGCCTTGAGAGACCCTACCAGGAGCATTTAAGCCTTCGACAACAAAGCCTTTAGGATAATCTAAACCTATTCCTCATATTAAGGGTGGAAGTTCAAGGAGGGGGTATTGATACCCTTGGATATATTTACCTAAACTGGTGAGTTAAACATGTCCCTTTATGCAGCTATCACTGGTGATATGGGAATTATTCAGGAATGCTCATGTTTAGTCCATACATGTAAAAGTGGGCTCTCATAGTAGCCATTCACCTTGATGGATGACATGTAGAGGTCGACCCCACCTGCTCACAATGGCATGGGGATGGCCTCATCTGAGTATGAAACAGATCTGCTTTTACACAGATCTAAAATGCTAATGTGAGCTGAGGGGTTCATCCCCCCTGCCCTGTTGTCAAATGAATTGTTTTCCAACAGCTGTGAGCAAGGACAGGAACTCAGTGCAAAGACGACGACTACTCCAAAGATGTACAACCCCAAATTTGCCTTTTAATTCTTCTCATTTAAGCATCTTCTCCCTATTACTTTACAGCAACATTATAATCATTCCATGTATTTTACATAGCCTTTCTCTATTTACAGTAGAATATCCAATCTTGTTACAGTAAAATGAAACAAATAGTATTATCACAACAATTATTAGCTTTTTAAGCTGTTCTTTTTAAACTTTTGGAGGGGGATGTACAGCTGAGGTGTTTGTTCTCATCAGCTGTCCTGGGACACAGTTTGCCCTCAACATTTAAGCTTCACTGTCCACATCCCCTGCCTACATACCTGCTGCTCTGCCTGAGCACTGCATAATGCCAGAACAAAGGTCAACGTCTCAGCAACGTCTCATGTTTAATTTATATTGCAATGCAGTGTGTACCATTTTTAAAATGCTGAAGAATGAGATGAATTGCACAAGTTTCCCATTTATCAACTACATAATAATAGCATTTTGTTAAGCCATGCCTTTTTTTCACAGCCTTTATTATATGTTAAATATTGTGACAGCTTTAAAACATAAAGCTGCCCGTCTTTTAAATTACATAGGAGTTTCAAATAAACCGATGAGTAAAATTGGCATAATTTTCTTGAAGTTTATGAAGAAAATCCTTAAAGAAGTGAAACATAGCTAAATTATTTGTACTTCCTTTCCTTTGTTTGTCATGCAAAGTCTCCACCAGAACTTCATTAAATGTAAGGAGATGTGAAAGAGGATGAGTACAAGCATATCCTCTGAGTAACGTTTTCTGACATTCATAAACGTTGTGAAAAAAAATAAATAAAAAAAGGAGTTAAAATACCCTGGCCACATGTGATAAACTGTGAGTAATTTCCAGGAGAAATAAAACAGAAAGTGCTGCTTGTACTATAGGATGCTGTAGGTTTGCAAGTAATTTCACAAGAGGAATTAATATCAGATCTGTTTATCCAAACGTAACTTAAATAACAGACTGATGATAAATGGTAGTTTAAGTTTTCTCCTCATGCCAATCAGCAAACTCTGGTGATGCCTTAAATAAAGTGGCTAGCCAAAGTATTAATAGCAACTTCAATAGTTCCCATTTTGAAATGTTCCTAACTCAAAGCCGGTGTACTTTATTTTACATGATAGGTGTGCTCAATATGTAGTATCATTTTGTTGTGGGAGGACATAAGGCATGGGTATCAACATTTTTTATGCAAATATTCCCCATAGTTATTTAATAACTAAATACGGATGCAGCTTTTCTATAAAGGAGGCAGTGGTTGAAGAAAGAACATTAGTGAACAAACACCATCATGAAGACCTAATAAAACAGCAGACAGGTAAAAGATAAAATTGTAAAGACCTTTAAAGTGGCCCTGTGTGATTTGTGACTCAGGTATTAGCTGAGTGTGAGATATATTGCACAATTTCCTGGTCAAAATACATCACTTGAAGAGCATCGATGCACCTTGTGGGCTGCTCCTCTCAAAAACTGGTCTTTGTAACTTGAGAGTCACATGACTTATCACTGAATAAGTCATGTGACCTAGAGCACCACACAGAGGCAGTCTAAGCTTCCCCTAAACATTAGCTCTAACCAAGCTTTTTAGTTAGACGAAAAACAGACATAATACGTGATCAGACATATTTTTTTCCTTTGATGTAGGATTTAATATAGAGGGTTGAATGTGGCTATGTCTATACAGGTAAGTTCAGAAAAAATGCAGATAATTCTATTAGTTATATATAGCACCAATTCACAAAAAAAAGTCATCTCAAGAAACTTTACAGATACAATTCAACCAGATAATGCAGTCAGATTGGTTCAAAGTTTTCTATCTCAGGAAAACCAATTGATTGCATCGACTCATTGACTTGAAAGCATTCCTTTACACCAATCATGCTTGTAGTGACAGTGGAGAGGAAAACTCCCTTTTAGCACAAAGAAAACTTCAGCAGAACCAGGCTTATTGTGAGCGGCCATCAAAAGAAGATATACAGAAAGGAGCAGAGATATCAAAGGTAACTGTCAACCAGCTCCGTAATCTGGTCAAATATAACTAAAGAAATGCGTATTTCTACATGTATATAAATGGTTAAACTCTATTAAAATTGTCTACACGAAAGGCCATTCTTTTGAGAATGTAAATTTCTTTTTTTCACAAGTAAAAGTGGAATTGCTCTATCAGATCATTACTTTATTACTCGAAACTTTTTTATTTAAGCTGTAGCAAAAAGTTGAAATATAATACCTACATTAACCTACAATGTCAAAACTTTCCGGCGAGCATTACAGTTGATATTTGGTCACTCCTAGTTTTACTCACATACCTCATGGATGGTTTACATTGACTTTCAGTAACTACAACTAATACAGGCAGTGGGAAATCCCTGAGCCCCAGGCCAGGTTTGATGACTCTGTATTGGGATTCCCAATGCCACTACTGCTAGATTAGCTCAACTACTCTGACAGCCTGACTGGTCTTTAAGTGCCAATCTAAAAACATATTTAAAA